AAGGAGGACAAGAAAAAAAGAGTAGAGTGAGTCAGACAGAAGGAGAGAGAATGAAAACTCAGGCAAAGAAAGAGCTGGACACAGACAGAAGGAGACTGGGAAAGTAGGCACAGACAGCGCTTAAAATGGAGAGTGAGTGAGTCAGGAATGGAAAGAGACAGAGGGAACAAGTGAGTCACAAAGATATGGCGAGGGAGAGCATATGGAGAAGGAGTTAAACAGAGAGAGAAGGTGAAAGAGAAAAAGACCGTGGGAGAGCAAGACAACAAATGAGCAGAGGAGAGGGAGACAAAAGTAATCAGACTAAAAGAAAGACAGAGACACCATTATAGTAAGAGAGAAAGGAAAAGTAAGGATGGTAGGCAAAGAGAGAGAGAGGGAGGGGGAGAGAGAATGTGGGATAAATGGTGAGAAGTCCAGGAGTTGTGCTTTTACAAAGGTTCCTCTTTCTCTTTTAAACTGTGAAAATGAAAGAAATAATAATGGATAGAGATAGAGGAAAAATAGACGAGAGGACATAGACATACCAGGAATGGGAGAGAGGGAACTGATTGGGAACAGCAAGTGAAAATGGCGATGAAGAGTGGGACAGAGGCAGTAGTAAGGAAGACAGAATGACTGTTTACGTGCGTACTTGCATCCCTCAGTTACATGTTTGTGCATAATAACTTTAACATCCTGGTTTCAAACCCCTGGCTAAGCCCTTATCCTAGTTGTGACAACTTATCCTGTAGTTGGAGCAATTCAGTAGAAACTCTGACACTGTGGAATGTAAACACCCTGTCCAGGTCTCTGATCGCTGTCTGCCAAGTGTGCATGTGCGTCTACAATAGTGATGATGTAATGATAGTCTGCGTGCTGAAATGAAAGTGAGAGTCTGACAAGCTAAATCTAGCAGAGTGGTACATAAAGCAAAGTTCAGTCAGAAGTCAAAACCATTCATCCATTATCTACACCGCTTATCCTGACAAGGGTCGCGGGGGGCTGGAGCCAATCCCAGCTGACAGTGGGCAAGAGGCGGGGTCCACCCTGGACAGGAAGTCAAAACCAGTAAAGGCTAAACTAGACAGATAGCTGCATAACAACGCAGTGAGTGTGAGAAACAATTAAGAGATGGGCCCGATCAGATCCTATATGGCACATGTGCCAAACTCAAGGCCCGCGGGCCACATCCGGCCCGGTATACAATTACATCCGGCCCACGAGTTCATTTTATATAACTTTTTTTAATGGCCCAGCAATATGAAGCGCCGATAACACACAAACTACAAATCCCATAATGCAGCTCAACAGCTGCCTTACCGAACAACAGGCTACCTGCGATCATTCCCGCGTCAATTACGTCAGATCAATCAAGCGTCTGTTGATGTATACAACTCTTATTTGTGGAGCTAATGTGGCTGTAATTAAGGAATATAACCTAAGACGGCACTAGAGACAAAACATCAGGACAAGCTGAAAAACGTGAATGAAGAGCAGAAGCTACAGAAGGTAGAGGAGTTGAAGAGGAATCTGACATCACAGCAGACGTTTTCACCAAAGTGAAATCACAGTGAAGCTGCTGTGAAAGCAAGTTTTATTGTGGCGGAGGAGAAAATGAGCCCGGACATTTACCGAGGGAGAGTTTCTGAAGAGCTGCATGATGAAAGTGTGTGACGTCTTGTGTCCAGACAAAAAGCAGGAGTTTGTAAATGTAAGCCTTAGCAGAAATACGGCTGCTGATTTTAAGTTCAAGTTTATTTATTTTGGAGTAATATTGTATCCTGTCTGTTTCGATTCATATTTATGTTCAAAAAACATTTGGGTTTTAGTCTTCAATAAATTCTTATCCTGTTCGGCCCGCGACCTAAAGTGTGCTTTGAGTTTTGGCCCCCTGTGCGATTGAGTTTGACACCCCTGTTATATGGGTATTGGTATAGTACTTGTGATGTGGGTAAAGCCACCGTGCCAAGGGGTGGAAGTATAGTGGCATTGTACAACAAAGCACAAAAACTACAACAAAGCACAAATGACAAACAGAAATCAGTACAATACCCAGTTTCACTGCTCAGTGTAGTCTACTGAGTCACATAGCTAGCAGTGCTAATAAGCTTATAGCTATGTTAACTCTGACAAAATCACATCACCTCGAGCAAGCAAAAGTACAGTACAGGAACAGTTTCTGCTCATAGCATGTAAAGGACAACAGAGACAACAATGCTCACGGATGAATAGTGTCCAAGGCACAATGTTGAGCAGTAATATAAAAACAAAAAAGCAGTTACTTTGGCTACCATGCCTGATTTAACTTTAGCCATTTCCTCCCTTAAATTACTGCTTCTGTATAACCACTGCAGCACAAAACAGAGGGCAGAACAACCAGGATCACGTTTATGTCGTCACGTTAACACAACTCTAACTGAATTAAGCTTAAACAATAATTTTGGAAAACATCCAAACACATAGCAAAAAACGGAGTTTTAAGTGTACTTTTATTTTTATGTATGGAAATCCATGTTATTTCCATACAAATGTTATTTTAAACATTCACATGCACAACCTTATGGGTGCACATATTCCAGGCAGGTCCCCTACTGAAAATACGTTCTCGTACACATGGGCAAAAATCACACTTTTATCAGTTTCAAATTAAATTTACAACACAGTGAAGTGTGCAAAAAGTGAAGGGGTCTGAGTACTTTCTGTACTTGGAGTGGACATTAATAAATGATGCCACAGAGATCAAAGCAGCCACAAATAGAAATGTATGTACAAGTCCTCTGATTGGCCTCAAGCCCCCAACCAGCCTCTGTTCTTTTTTCTCTCTCCCTCAAAGCACCGCTCGACTGAAGTTAATGGTGTTAGTGTATGTGTTTGCATTTGTGTGTGTATGTGTTGATGGAGTGTTAGAACGCCTGTCCGGCAGAGTCGGATGAAAACTCTCTTTTTAGCGCTGAAATGTCACAGGAGAGTAATTTGCGTCTAGTGGGGGAGATAGCGCAGAATGCTGGCGACAACTCGGCGCAACAAAAAAAGGACATAAATGTGTGTGTGTGTGTGTGTGTGTGTGTGTGTCTGAGGAGGATGTGGATCACCAGTTCTCAGAACAGGATCAAGTAGATGTGTTTGTTCATCTTCAAACTAGTTGTTTACTTTTCTTCTTGGCATGTTTACTCATCACACCGCTTCTACGCACATGCACATTAATACACACTATTATATATGCATTAATCAGGCAGGCATGCACACACACATAGAGAAGAATATACTTGTACAGAAACGCAAGCTCTCTCTCTCTTATACAGTGCATACAAATGATTACACACACACTTGAACACATACTGATGGAAACACATAAATAAACATTCTGTCATGCACCCACACACTCAAAAATATGAAAATTCATATTCCCACTGTGTTTTTCTTTCATAAGTACACAAACCTTCACACAAACACACAGTAACACATTAGCAAACAGCCACACCTATGGGAACATACAGTACATTAATAACTGCGGTCAGATAAAGACAAACACTCCTGTACATTTGCTTACTTGCATAAAAATAATTTCATATCCAAACACATGCAACGGCAGTCACACATACATTGTCTCACACACACAAGCTCATACTGTATGCGACACATATACACATGACAGCATTACTTTGCTGCTATATGCAGAAAGTAGACAAACACACACACATGTATATTGACACTCCTTCACATGCTGGTGCTGCCATATGCTTTCTCTCTTTCACACACACACACACACACACACACTCTGACAGACCTTCCTTTCTCCAACACATTCACATGTGCAGTTGCCAAGCTTGTTTCCATGGAAACCTGCGGGACAAGGTGTTAATGAAATACTGTGATTGTGTAACCATCACGAAATGTTCACCTGTGCCACCATTCACAGCAGCAGGATGAACATGAAGACGTGTTTGTTACACACCTACTGTCATGAGATGCATCAACTGTTGTTAACCAGCTGAATCCCTACTTATCTCTTTAGCACAGAGCAATCAGGAATCCATCAGGAGCTGTTCTAAAGCTGTGCTGTGCGAGTCCTTAAGTCTTCAACAATATCAACCAACCATGGTGTGTCGTAGCGATGATGTGTTTCTGGAGGCTAGCCCAGATGTTAGCATCACCCTGTTTCCTTCAACAAAAAGCCAGTGGGATTTTTCCATAAGATTTTTGATTATTTTAGAAAATAAGCTCTGTGATTCAGAGTTTATGATACCTGCATGTTTTATTCAGCAAGATACTCCTCACAGGTGAACATCACTTTTATGATTTTTGAGCCCAAATACAATCACCAGAAGTAAAAAGCTATAAACAAACCACCATAGTCCCATGACTTCAGTGTCAGCACCGCGACCTCCAACTTGTAATTTGATTTAGCGCGCTGACCTCTTTTACAGAATCCTTTCCTCTTAGCGTGACCTGTTCTAGCTGGTGATCATTGCTACGTTAGTTAGAATAGTTTGCAAGCATGCAAGTTTAAACACAGTGAGTTTGCCCAGTGAGTGTCCGTGTTTGGCGTGATGACGTTTAGTAACCCACACAGCCACTTGTTAGCCACCTCCTTCATGAGCGGGGTATTTGATGATGTACAACAAAATGTGAAAATGTATTGGCCTAGTGTGAACCACAGATCTTATTTCAGGAGTCTCACCAAAAACCCACTGGTTTCTGTGCGAGGAACCGCAAGTGTAAAAATGCAAACTCGTTTCTGGGTTTTAGGGCTCACTACAGTGGCACTTTATAAGAAGGGGCAATGCTGTATGCTCCCTTTTTTTAACATGCAAGGCCAGCAATTATTCCTACAACATCTGCACACATGATTAGGGAAATGGCAAATAACGTGTGGTTATGGTAGGATTGGGTGATTTGGGTTAAACAACCAAAAAAAAAGGTTAAGTTTAAATAAAAACATAAATGTTAATGACAGACCTGTGTCAAGAGGCACTCTCCACTCACTCTGACCTTACTTTCCCTCCTGTGACAAACAGGGCACTCCACTTGCTGCACTACCACTGAAGGTCGGCCCTGGACATAAAACATGAGGTGCGGATTCATCAGATTCATGTTTTAGGCTCCCCTTAGGGAAAAAAATTAATTCAGCTTCTATACAGTGAAAGTGTTTTACAGCACATGATTTACAATTTTATCTTTTGGAGTAGAGAGAGGCTTGGCATAATACTGTATTTCTCTTTTTTTAAGAAGAAGAAAATTTCACTTTATCTTTCCCCCATGACGTTTTATAATTTAAGGATTTTGGATTTTCCAAATCGAGTAGTTATTTGTAATAACTATATTTACTCTTATTCGGTGTATCTCCTATCTGCCTTCTCTCACAGGAACACGGCTTGGTGTTCAGACTTCATTCCCAATGAAGCAAACTTTTGAAATGGACATGTTTTTCCAGCATGAATTTCAGTTCTGGAGGAAGATGCATGGTGAAGTCATGAACCCCTTCAACCTCTTCTGTTCTTTTTTCTGTTTTCCAGGTGAGTGAGCGTCAGGGGAGATAAGCCTGTCATAGTTTCCCTCTAGACTGAAGTTCAGGGAGCACATCTGAGACAGCAGGACGACTGGCCAACAGCGATAGCCAGCCAACATCTCCATGAGACAGGTGAGACGAGAGAGGAGGGGGGGAAGCAGCTTGAAAAGCCTGGCATACTCTCACAGGAACCGAGGAACTGAGGCAGACCTATCCATGACCGAGCCGGAGTAATTGTTTTGCTTCCAAACCAAAATGATGATTGATGGAACTAAGTGGTGAGTGATGATGCATTTGAATGAGACGTTCAGAGCAAGCTGGAGGTTGAATTTCCCCATTAACAGCCATTTGTACTCCCTGTGTAAGGGCTTGTTGAGCAGACACTCAGATCGTAGAAATGAGCACAACCACACGTTGTTTATCTCTTCACCAGGCATAAACGCTGCCTTCATACTACTACAAACCACAGTAAATGACAGGACAGAGTCATCTATTATCCAGAACCTATCAAAGTTTCATGACACTCAAGCTTGTTAATGATTTGTTTTTGTGATTGGAAGACATAATGAGATGTGCTGACACACTGGCACAGACATTTTGATAAATATTTATATTTATTATTAGTTTAAACCAAAACAAAACTAAGCACATAATGAATACATCAATATTCCACCAGTGTTGAAGTACAGTTTGTGCTGGTAGGTGTGGTTTCACACCAGTCTCTAGCCACTTTTACCCTGCCCATTAGATGTGGGAGTTTTTAGCCTGGTACAGCTACAGAGCAGGCATGGGAGGCTGAAGTTGACCCTCCAAAATTCCACAACGGTAGGCAGCATTTTTGCCCCACTGCCTGTATAAACAGGACAAGCCAGAATGGGGGTTGGAGGTCTCCCTGGGGTGAGAGAGAGAGAGAGAGAGAGGGAGCTAGAGAGTGCATGAAGAGAGAGTGCAGCGTCAGTGAGAACAAAGTGTATCAGAGAATTCAAACTTTATTTTGTTATTGTTGTTACAGCCACACTTCTGCACAGCCCTGTGGGGAGGAGTTTGTGTGAATGCAGCCCAATTGTAGCCTTCTGTCTGTTTTGAGGCGAGATGCACCTTGTGTGTGTAGCCCTGCCCTCAGACAGACACAAAGACCTGATATGGGATCCACGTTGTAGGCTACTGTAATTCCTGAATTCCATTTATAGCCTAAATATAGTAAGTCAGATAAGATTTGCAATCGGGCCAGTCTGTTTTGACTGAGGTGGTTATGATGCATTTTTTTGGTTGGGATTGGGTTACTGTTCAGATTATTAGTGGAAAAGGGTCCAGGGTAAATGCAGCTATTGACTTTTATTTTCTGAAGATGTGCTCACTTCTCAAGAATTTCCTCATATCCAAATATGTCCTACATGTACCTTTGACAACAATGTTTTCCCAGTCTAAAAATCTCCTCAGTTTTCCATTCTCTTAATTTAGAAAAAATCCACAGAGTCAGTACTTTCCAAAAACATCCTCCGTTTCCAGAAATGTCCTCACTTTTCAAACATGTCCTCCCGTTCCAGGCCTCAGATTGTCCTTGCTAACGGTACAAGAATGCTCACACATGCCCCCTGCCTTCTGTTTTATACTCAAACACACATGCACACTTCAGATGTCTCCCTTCCTACACAGTTCACATTTCTCCACACACCTCCACAACATGTGTACTGGGCTGTCGGGTCTAATAAACGTTCTCAGGGTTAATTACGCGTGCTGCCCATTACAAGGCGTCCAAGTCACAGCTGACATGTGTGATTTCCCAAATGTTTATGAATGGAAGCCAACAGCCCACCAGAGGCTCATAGGAAGCAGGTGGCTGCTGGACACCAGCTTTCCACCGGGTGACGGGGGCCTTGTCCAGCCGTTTGGAAACGGTCAGGTGCCGCAACCAGGAGCTTCATCTCCAGATGACACACCTGAACTCTGGAGAAGAAGGGCACTTTCTCAAATGTCACTTTTCAGAGGAGAAAAAAAAAGCGAGTGTTGAAGTGTTCCAGAGTTAAAATCTCCTGTATTTGCATGACTTTTCAGATTTCTCAAATTACAAGCACAGCTGGTACAGTGTATGCTCTGAGTGAACCACTTTGGCTGGTAACCACTTGTCATTTCACCATTACTCTGTTCAGCAGCATATGAAAAGGGTCATTTCCTGCCTTGTTATTTAAAAAGTGGTGTGTGTGATCTGCTCTTGGCTAACCCTGGCCTGCACACTCTGTGGAAGGAAGAAATGTCACATATGGCAGAACTTTTAAATGTCAGTGTTAATTGGATTTGAATTGTAGCAAATAGAAACTCCATACTGTACCTCGCAAACAGAGTGGGAAATGTGTCCCAGGCCCAGTAACACCAGTCACAAATAAGGCACAAGGGGCTTTACAGACAGTACAGCATACACCCTGTGTCCAAACAGATAAAGGACAAACTCCCTCCAAAAGACAAAGTCAAGATTTTCTGTATATCTGCCCTTTGAGCAACTTTACTTGAAATAAAGGGTGCACATAGGCGTAGACTGCATGTGTCAGTGAGCTGTCAGGCATCACATACCTCTAATTTTCTGCAGTGTTAGTACTAGTTTGCCAATGTTTTAGGTTTTTATTCTCAGTTGCATAAATCACTTGCAACCTTTTATCCAAAACCTGACATTTATTACTTCCCTTTCATGATAGGATAATTGAAAAACTTGCAGTCTTTCAATTTCACTTAAAGTTGCTCAACAGGCTGATTCTCCAAAAGCGTCAGAGTCTGTCGGTAGCTGACCTCCTCCTGAAACCTCACACACATCAATGCGACAAAAGTCAAGATTTTTCTGACCTAATGGCTTAAATCATTATAATATAGTTATTTTAGTGTTTGTGTCACTCCAACAGATGTTTTTACAGTAATGTTTATAAATGGGAAAAACACTTTTTAGTTAAGTTGCTGTCATGAGACAGTCCTGTGGCCACTATACCAACCTCCCCTCACTGTGCCATAGATTTTCACTTGACCCCTGATTTGAAACACAGCTACAGTATGCCTATTGTTATTAGTATTTGTGTTTGAATTCTCCTAATTCTGACTGTGTGGTAATCATTTTACCTGCTTTGGGTGGCACCTTTGCTCGTTTTTCCATGAATTAAGTTCAGTTGTCTTCTGACCTACAGTGTAACACAAGGAAGCACGTGGTCAGATATTACATGAATCACTTTCCACATCTCTTACAAGTATTTACAGGTTTTATTTTTAGCACTTGTTGCACTTTTTACAGGAAAACACTGCTTGTAAACTCAGGTATGTGTTGTAAATATGTTTAAAGCAACCAAAAACACAAATGCTCTAAATAAAAAATGCTGTAGAGATATTGTAACATGATAACTCAGTATAGTACTGTAATTTATTATCTCGGTAGCAACACTATATATGAAAACACAGTAACAATACTGTAAACACTTCCACAGTAACCTGCTGGTAGTGGCAGCTGGATACCACCAACACCTCCCCTCTTTCCTGTCTTCATGCATGTACTCTGAAGAGCATGCAATTAAAAATTTCCACAAGGGAAAGAAGCGCAAGAGTAAGGAAGAAGTTGTGTGTTTGTCGCCTCTCCCCAAAGTGCTGGGGTTGTTGAGAGGTTGGAGGGGGGGGATAAAAACACACTCTGCAGTGTATTTAGAGGCGCCGCTGTGGATGGGATGCCTCACCAACGCATCACCCATTTACACCCATCAGAAAGCTGAGAAGGCAGCAGTGAGTGCTGTTGAGTACAACTGAGGCAGTGAAGGAATCCAGAGGGTGTGTGTTACTGTGTGTAGTTGAGGGAAGCTTTGGGTTTTGACTTGGGAAGCTTTTTCTTTTTGAACCACACTGTTTGGTCTTCCAAAGAGGTGCACAGTGGCAGAATTACTGCATATTGCCTATGACAGCGATAACGACTCACCGCATATTGGGATTATACTGCTGTGTGAAGTCTTGGCACCCAGCCTATTAAATATGCATGAATGTTTGAAATGAATTTTGGAGGATTTCCCCCCTCTTCAGCCCCCTCCTCCTCATTGTTAAACTATATAATCATATTCCTGTCTATTAAAATTCAGATGAATAATTTAAACGCATGACAACAGCCCAGCTCTGAAAGAGGAGGTTTCTGTTAGCAGCTGGCAGACCAGGTTGCTTTTGATGAGTGATGCAGGCTAAATTGACATTGTTGTGGTGGAAAAAAAGGCAAAGCAAAGCAAGAGAATGAAAAACAATCCACCAAAAATGTCACCTCTGTGAAATTTACACCATGACTTCGGAAGTGTGACACAGAAACATATCGGCAGATATAAAATATTCAGCAAGGTTACCGTGAGGCTGCAGCTGGTGGAGACGCCGTTGTGCTGGCAAACGCCTGCCAATCTGTGGTTGTTTCATACAATTTAATTTGAGTCAAAGATTGTAGCAGCATGGCAGTTGTTCAGAAATAAATCCGGAATGTAGGCTGCATCTGAACAAACAGAAAAACAATTCACAGGTTCAAACCAAACATCTGTGATAGTGTTGTGTACATGTGGTGTCTGACAGTTACGGCAGATGAAATAATTACACCTGAACTGAGAGTATCGTCAGTGTCTGAAAACCTGCACCAGAACAACAGGAAAAAAGAACTAAACATATAAATCTAAAGAGAAAGAATGCGACATATATATTACACATACTGTACATATTGAGACTGAATTAAAAAACCTACAGGAAAACCACAGCAACGTTTAGGAGCATGTAAAGTTGCTGCTGACGTTAGCAAACAGCTGGAAGAGGCTAAAACGCTGCACAGAGATGCTGAGCTGGGGCAAAATGTCAGCACACAATAAAACGAGTGACTCCTCTCTCACATTGTACACGCTTTCATCAGTAGATTTGCTTGAAATAAGAGCAAGTGCCTCATCTCAACATTCAAGATCCTAATACTAATTTGTAAAAAAAAAAAAAACAATGACAAACGCAGAGGAATTTATTTGAATTAACATGGTGACGTAAAAGAACTGTAAGGCGAGATACATTAGTGAAATGACACTCCAGTGTATGTATGTTGCCATAACAGACGAAAGCTAGACTGTACACACTCGTGTGAAGGACCAGACTGAATTGTATATATACAGATATTGAGGAGACTGTGTGCACATACAAAGATGTAGCGATAGACTGTGCATGTGTGAGAGAGAAATCTGAGGGACTAGGAGAGTGCAAACTTGAAAGTGAATGCAGAAATTGGAGATATACTGTAGCTGTGGGTGGAGGGCAAACTAACTTTGAACATTCATTGCAATGAAGTTATTATCCATCCTCTCTAGAGTTCACAGCCAAGGCTGCTGGGAAGGCTCTTCAAACAGGAGAAAGCTCCCACACACTGAACTCACAGAGCACGATAGGAGGCTTTACCTCCAGACCTCAGAGGAAATGTTCAATAGGTTCATACGTATTTACATGGATGGATAGATAGATAGAGAGATAGATTGATTGATTGCCTGAATTGGAAATCACAAATCAATCAATCAATTTCAAAATTGACCTCTGTATTTTCAGCTACTTTTTCTAGTAAATTTAAGTTTTAAGCTCTGGCTGTTCTTTCTGTTGGCTATGATAATGCTGTTATTTCTGAACACTACGTCATCCCAAAAGGTGCCGCATTGCCAGACTAGCCATCACTTGTGGAACCTAAACATCTTTAATGTCTGTCATTACACAGGAAAATGTGAGTAAGCACAGCTGGAACAAGGTGTGGGGGACAACGTTGAGATAGCTGCTGAAAGTACAGTTACACATTCCCATATATCATCAATTGCTTTGGTGAATACAGCTGTAGGTTATTATAGAACCGGTGGCTGGATGTGTGGGGAAAAAATAACAACAATGAACTTGTAATAAACAGAGTTTACCTTTTTTTAAATATATTTTTGGGCACATTTGTCCCTTCATTAGTTAGTGGGTGGGCAGCACAGCTACACACTGGTTAACAAAAAGGTTCCAGGTTCGAGCCCCAGCTGACCCGGGGCCTTTCTGTGCGGAGTCTGCGTGTTCTCCCTGTGCCTGAGTGGGTTCTCTCCAGGTGCTCCGGCTTCCTCCCACAGTCCAAAGACATGCAGCTTAGGTTGACTGGTGACTACACTGACCATAGGAGTGAGTGTGTGTTTATCTACATGTCAGCCTTGTGACAGAATGGCGACCTGTCCAGGGTGGATCCTGTTTCTCACCCGTGATTTGAGAGTTCAGTGTTACATAACTCACAGAAGAAAAACACAATTTATGCACAATTCAGAGAAATATGTGTATAAATAAATATAGTTTGTATCCATTTAGCTGAGCAACTAAAGGATTTTCTTCTGCAGTGACTACCACTCTTATGGCATGCCAGCTAGATATATTTAATTAGCTTGTTTACAGTCACTGTTATTTTTTTTCTAGTTTTTCTGGACGGATTGTCTGAACGGACGCTCACCCTTGTTCTGAAAACAAGTTCTTTTTAGCTTTTGTTCACAGAATGAAAATCCTGTGTAAAATTGATTTAATCTCTATTGATTTGATCTTATTGAGTGACTCTCTCTGCTTCAGTGTCATTCTTGATAGGCCCACCAACATGGGCCAAAATTACACATTCAAATCCTACACCTAGTGGCTTTAATGAGACACATTGGTGCTTTGACAAACTACATGCAAACAATGCAGAATTTTTTAAAAAGTGTAATTTCTTTTAATACGACTGAAACCAGTGCACAAAGCATTCCGCTCTGCCAGAGGTGAAGTGAAGGGAAGGGGAGATTGTGCATATTTACCTTCCATCCTCCCTCAGGTTTTACTTTGGCTCTGCAGCACAGACTTTACAATAGTCAATATCTGACATCTGACATGCATTAGAAATTCATATTTGACAAACATCAATGCGTTTGCTGTTCAGCATGATGTACTACATTATGTTTGGCAGAATCCTGAGCTGTTTTATTTTAATATTTAAAACAACTATAGCCTCTGACTTCTGGGTGACAGTAAGTTTTTAACCTTGACCACTACTTCACATGTTTGTGTTATTTTGCAAATATTCTGGCATGAGAATGGGAATCAATGCCATTTAAAAGCAGCACGGCGCGGCGCACACACCCACTGAGGGGCTATTAGTAGCCGGCAAGAGGCTCAATACTGAACTCACAACACCTGAACGAGAGAATTCACAGCCAATAATGTTGTGAACCCAGTGGCTTTGTGTGTTATTGATTTCCCTTACTGTGTAGACGCAATGTGCGGTTCACTGGTGCTCAGACAGCTGTATTGTATGTGAGTTTGTGCCATGTTTTACCGCCTTAAATTTTACCACAGTCCAAATAAAAACAGCAAAGCCTGAGGCTGTGTGTCAGGGGAGCCATCTGAGTCTCAGGTATGAGGGTGAGCGTCCGTTCAGACAATCCGTCCAGATTAGTGTTCATCCACACTCGATCAGCGCTCCGGATTTAACCGGGCAGATGTAGGTGGCCGGCTGTCTGTGGTGTGTGTATCTTTTTTTTTTTTTTTTTGAGCTCCTAAACTATTATTGTTCTTTGGCTTGTCTGTGCTCTTTTCTTTCATTTTTGTCTTAGGGAGGGTTAGTTTGAGTTTTAGACCTTGAGAGTGAGGACATTTTAGGAAATTGTTTGCTTTGAGGGTTAAGTCCTGGTCTTGGGGATAGGTTTAGAATAAGGTTTAGGTAAAAGAGGTACATTAAAATATCAAATAGAAGCCACATGCACAAGAAGGTCTGAAAAGTTTAGCCCTTCGTAAAAGACAGTAGCTGCAGTCAGCTGAGCAAACTGCATCTGCTGAGGATGACCATGAGATGTAGCTCAGGCAAAGCTAGTAAGTCAACCTTGAGTTCAAATTTGTTTCTCAAACTACTGTTTGTAAGGTTACAAGGTCATGAATGAACTTTAAAGGCCATTTTAAAATCTCCTAACATACAAAGCCCTTAATGACAAGGCTCCATCGTATCTTAAAGACCTCGTAGAGCCTTATCATCCTAACAGAGCACTTCGCTCTCAGAGTGCAGGTTTACTTGTGGTTCCTAGAGTCCACAGAAGCAGAATGGGAGGCAGAGCCTTTAGCTATCAAACTCCTCTCCTATGGAACCAACTCCCAGTCTCAGTTCGGGAGGCGGACACCCTCTCTACCTTTAAGATTAGACTTAAGACGTTCCTTTTTGATAAAGCTTATAGTTAGGGCTGGATCAGGTGACCATGAGCCTTCCCTTAGTTATGCTGCTATAGGCCTAGGCTGCTGGGGGGCTCCATGATGCTCTGAGCCCCTCCCCTCCACTCCCCTCCCCTCTCCCTCCATCCATCTATATGCCACCACTACACGTCATTAACAGTGTCTCCTCTTTTCCGTAGTGTGTCCTCTCTCTTGATCAGTTGTGAAATTGTGTTGCGTGAAATGTTTGAGAAGTTTTTATGGACATTTTCGGTTGTTTTTCTGGTAGAGGCGTGAGTATGTGCTGTTTGAAAGATTGGTCGAGTGTTCCTGTGAAGGAAACTTTTGGTTCTTTTTATAGTTTTGGACATAAACAAAAAACAGAACAAGAAGCTTGAGTCTGACATGGGGTTGTTTTACAACCCGGTTGACTGTCTGGCTGCTCCTTTTCCCACTTCCTGAATTCTTTTAGCAATGGTGACAGAATTTTATTAGAAAGTCACTTTCGGTTTTTCCCATTTAGGGGTCGCCACAGCGAATCGTCACGCTGACGACGCGCATGTTGACATTTGGGACATGCTTTACGCCGGATGCCCTTCCTGATGCAAGCTTGACTCAAACCCGGGCCACAGCGGCGAGAGCGTTGTGCCTTAACCACTAGCCTACCAGGGACGGCAGGTGACAGAATTTTATTATTACTGATAAAAATGAGAGCTTTAATAAACTAAAATTATACGGTTTGGGTAAGGGTTTGGTCTGGGCATGATGTCATGGTTATGGTTTGCTAGTCTGTTAATGGTCTTCACAGGCATAGAAGTACAAAAGCTTGTGCATGTACAGTGCTATATTTGTAATCGTGTACAAGGTACCTTGACTTTTTGTCCTCATTCTGTCTCTTAAAGAAAAGGGAGTGGAGAAGATAGCACTTTATATGTTTAGAATGTTTACACTGTATGCATTTTCTTTGTGTATGTGTGCACGCAGGGTCTCAGCACACTCAGCGCACAGCGTTCCTCTGGAGTCTCCACTCAATAAGTTGGCAACAAATGCAAAACCTGCGAGATCAAAGGGAGCATCATGCTGCTAATTCAACTTCAGATCAGAGAGAGATCTTCAAATTAAGCACGAGGGTTTGAAGTAAACTCTGTTTTGCCACTGCGTTTCATTTATTTTCAGCTCCAGTGCTCTAATTGGCCCCAGAGGTGAGGAGCAAAGTGGATGGGATGGGAGCACAGACCCAGGGCCAACTATCCATCTAAAATGTGCACTAATGGAAAGGTCTGGGGAGAAACTGACATTTCAGTGCAAAGAGAACAAAGTCATGTCCGATTGGCTAGTGGCCAAAGAGCCCTGTGGGATTAGTGCTCTGATGGCATATTTCATGTCATCTAGGTATTAATTATACACTGCATAACAGATTTTAACACCTTTTATCACAAAATATGGCCAGACACAGAATTCAACCTTCAGTGTTTGTAGAAGACTTTTCATGCTGTCGAATCACCTGCTGATGCCCGCACAGATCTTGAGATGCAACAGGCATCGGCTTGAACCTTTAAATTCCTTGTTACCGTTTCTGGTCTCGGTGCATTTGCATTAATTGTTTTACAGTCTGGCTTCATTCCAACACATTCTCCAAATCAGTCAAAATTCAGGAAGACAAAAATGTTGCTGAACATTGTTCAGTATTATAAAAACTACAGCTCATTTCATTCTGTGAAATATATTTCACATACAAACATCTCTACCTGCTCACTGCTTATTACCTGGTGCAAAAGAAGGCTTGGCAGTGATATGGCTGGACTGAGGGAGTCAACATGACTCTGCCCTCTCGAGATGGCCTGGGCTTAAAGTAAACAGCCCGTGATAATTTATTTTATCAACTTGCCTGTGTGAGTGGAGGGAGAAAGGCATGGTGACAGCATTTTGTGATAAACCTCACCGCTAATACAGCAGTATCGGTGCGAGACCAGCGCAAGCCAAAATGCCACCACGTCTGATAGCAGCTGTTGCTGCAGAACTCGGAATGTCAGACACACAGGAATGTAATGACTTTCACATTATTTCAATAATAAAGCACTGGGATTTACTGTTAGAATAGCAAGAGTTTTGTTACCTTTACTGGTGTATTTTTTTGCCCTGCTAATACTGTCAACCGGTCTAGTTGTTCAGCTGCTTTATTTTGAATTGCATTTCTAAAAATCAATCCAATTATTTGCAATAAAATTTAATACAGTTATTCGTATTCCACCCTGAACTTTAGTGAGTCCCTGACTTTTTCTTTTGTTTTTTTGTGCGGTCAGGTTTTCATTTTGGCCAATACTTTGGTTGTAACCAAAAACCTGTTACTGTTTGATGCTAACTATCAAACGTTAGCATGTTAGCTCATTAAATTCAGATGGTTACAGTGGAAAACATTCCTGATTAAAAGTTAGTGTGTTAGCATTGTCATTAGCATTTAGTTCAAAGCACCGCCTTGCATAAGTAGCAAGTCATCTATGGATGGATGAAGGAGAGACAGACACCACATCCACAGATGGTAACAACTTTAGTCTATGAAACTATGAAAGTCACTGCCTTTTGTGCATAATCCAAAAAGCATTCACCAGTTTCCCCACAGTTGTCACCACCAGTCACTGACACACGTGACAATAGTACATGTACTACATGGAAAACTGAATGAATGTTCCATTATTTTTGGGAAAGTATACTTGTATTGCATATGAGGATTTGTGGCTCATGTGCCACGATGTCAAATCTAAATGTATCCACTTTCTTTTTTGTAGCAAAGCACCATGTAGTTATTTTATTTAAATAAGGGCAATAAGAGCAGTGAGGCTGTAAAGTTTACTCAGCTCTAAAGAGGCGTATGTAATCCTTCAGTTGACCTTAAAGTCACCATGAAATAAAAAATGACTAATTCTCTACTACAGTACAATCCTATATACGAATAAATTGCAAAATATGTGCATACTTTTATTTTCTGTTTTTATGTCAAACAACAAAAGAACATGTCGTTTTCGGTCCTCCTCTGCCTGTAAACAGCAGTGAGCTCATCATGTGCCAAATGTGTGGAAATAAAAACCCCAGGAAATAAAACTGTTTTTGAAATCATATAATTTTATACTTTTGATTCATCATCCCTGCATTATGCCGTGCTTCAAGAGGAGCACATCAAATTAACGAGGCAAGATGCATTCTGCCAAAATGTTTCTTCTGTCTACCTTTAAAATATAAAAATCACCTCTTATAGATTGAAATTACGTGGTTTGCACATGACGGCATTATATGGAATTATAAAAGAAAAAAGAGAAAGAATAGCTACTTATGAGCATAGTGTTATGAGATCACTGAAACCATGCTCATTGTTTTATTGTGAATTTTAAAAAGCCTTGAAACAAGTTAAATTTCAATGAATTTATGTCAGCTCATGGCCACACTTTGCTTTTCATGTACAACCTCAAATCAGACAAAGTTGGGCCGGTGTGTAAAATCAAAATTAACCCTGAAAATAGTGATGTGTAAATCATCTTTGTCCTGTATCACATTGAAAACAATACAGCAGCACATTATTTGATGTGAGACCTCATCAACTTTATTCTTTGCTCAGAATAAACGCTCACTTTAATCCTGATGCTGCAAGACATTGTAAAACACGTTGGGACAGTAAAACATGTACCACAGTGTGATGCTGCCGTTCCTTTACACAACATTTAGAAGACGTTTAGGGACTGAGGACACCAAGTGATTCAGTGTGTCACGTGTCATTTTGTCCGATTCTTCCTGTAAATAAGTCTTAAGGTGCACAACAGTCCTGGGTCTATGTCAACACAATTTACATTTCAAAATGTGCCACACTTTCTCTGGACAGATGGGGACTGCAGGCAGGCCAGTCCAGCACTCAGCCAGTTTTCCTCCACAGCCAGGCCTTGGTAATGTGGCAGTATGAGGTTTGCATTGTCTTGTTGAAATCTGCATGTGTGTCCCGGGAAAAGACGTCATCTTGAAGGTAGCATATGTTGCTCCAACATCTCTCTGTATTGGTCAACATTAATGGAGCCATCACAGACGTGTAAGTTACCTTGTTACTGACACAACCCCAGACCATGACAGACCCTGGTTTTTATACTTGTTGCTGCTAACAGTCTGGATGGTCTTTTTTGTCTTTGGTCCGGAGCGCACGACATCCGTTCCTTCCAAAACACTGATTCATCTGACCATAGTGCACCTTTCCACTGTGTGACGGTCCATCCCAGATGCCTCTGAGACCAGAGCAGTTGACTTCTGGACACTGTTGACATAGAGCTTCCTTTTGGCACAGCAGCATTTATGGATGCAACTGTGTATTGTTGTGCCTGACACAGGTGTGCCAAAGTCATCCTGAGCCCATGTGGTTATATCACTTATAGCAGAGTGATGATTCTTTATGCTGTGCCATCTGAAGGATCGGAGAGCTCGGTCATCCAGCTTAGGCTTGGCCCTACAGCCTTATAATGATGTTCTGCACCGTAGAGGGTGATATATCCAAATCCCTTTCTATCTTTCTTTGAAGAACATTGTTTTTAAACATTTCAATAATTTTCTCACACATATGTTGGCAATCTGGTGGTCCTCGGCCCATCTTTGCTCCTAAATGGCTCGGCTTATCCTGGATGCCACTTTTGTACCAGATCATGATGCAGTCACCTGTTGACATCACCTGTTTCACATGGAATCATCATTTCATTGTTTTACCTCATTACTGGCCCTGAAACGCAACCGACCCAACTTTTATTGGAATGTGTTGCAGCATCACAATTGAAGTGAGTGTTTGCTTTGAACAAAGAATAAAATTGATGAGGTGTCACATCAAATAATGTGCTGTTGTATTGTTTTCTATGTAATACAGGACACAGGTGATTTACACATCACTATTTTCAGTTTTAATTTTGATTTTGCATACTGTCCCGTCTTATTCTGACTTGAGGTTGTACATGTTATGTCTTTCAGATGAATATTTTTGCACCCCGTCTGTTTCACCCTGCTTTATGTGATCAAGGTTTTTGTTGATAATGAACATACAGTGGCAGTCTGGCGCCAGCTACCGTGTTAGAGGATGCTCCTGCTCTGTCAGAAGCCCTCATACCTCCTCGCCAAGGCCTCCTATTCATGCTGCTGGAACGTCTCCCACATACTGTCAGTGGAAACACAAGGGATGACCGTGGGTGACTCAAAAGATATTTAAAAAAAAAAAAAAGTATAAAAAGCAGTCTATTTTGCTGTCAATGCAGGCAGTGATTTTTGCAAGGATGAAAGCTGTTTCACATAGTGCTATAGAATCTGATGGGAAATGACTGTACTGTTCCTATTCTAATCCCAAAGGGTCTTATTGTGAGTCTGCAATGCTGTGTGGTAGGTTTGTAGCAAACACGCTGTGATTTTTAGTAACTATATTGTACCTTTATAACATTTCTATAATGTTCTTTTAGGTTATTCAACAAAGCTGCATTTCTTGCCTTTTAGACCCCGTTGTGACTTGGAGACTGCAAAGGAAGTGGTCTCTGAAAAAGGACGTCTCTAATATATTTCAATTATTCCAACCACCTGCTTTTGTAATTAAATTAACTGGTTGATTTCCAGTGATGGATTTGTTTCCATAATAGTAATAAGATCAGTGTTATATAACTGAGCTTTGTTCAAACTCTCAACATTGTTTTAAATTGTTTATTATATCCCAATGTTTGCAGTAACACCAAGGTTGCCAGAACGAAGTACAAGGCAGCAGGTGTAAAATGATGCAAAATTGGTTGTATTAAGCACAGGTAGTAAGAACATAGAGAATGTGTACAATACATAGGCATCACTTAATTTAATGAAGAACAGACTAAAGAAATATTTCAGAGCCTACAGAGACCTCACACTTGGATTAAAGTTCAAGATCTCTTTGCATGTCAAAAGTATGCAGACTATGCATAAATAATGAATTGGTCATT